TGAAGCACAATTACATGACACAAAGCATATATGGATAAATAGATAGAACACAATATTCAGAGAAACCAAAATTTGTTCAAATTTGCCTCAATCTGATAGAGAATATTATTTACCTAAAGAGTTTTCCCTCAAACTTCTTTATAAGTCAGCGGTCTCCCAGAAAACGTAACAAGATGGCGGACAATGTTCTTTAATAGGCATTGGGAACAAACGAGAGTGAGGTGAGAAAGGTAGGTCAATTACCTTTCTCAAGAACAATAGCCTATAACTATGGCTTGATACCTATAAATTACAGTCCTATCCTTCCTTGCAATGATATAGAAGGTATGAAACAGGAGATTTTGTTTTTGAATATTAAAAACCAAGTTGCGAAACGAAAGCGAGAAACGTGAAAGATTGTTCGGCTAAAAAGGGAAGGGCTTTATTCTTTAAATTTTGTTCGGGATATTCTGAAGTCTAAACTCTGAGCCTTAATTCTGATACATTTTGCCACTTTGGACCAAAAAGATACTTGAATTTTGATATATACTAAGATTAAGAGTGCTTCACCCATTTTCAGCCTGATATATGTGACACCGGCGGGAACAGAACAGAACAGAAAGTGGACGAGCCTTCTTAGGTGAGTGCCGACGCAATTTGGCTGATTCAGTATACCAGGAACAGCTGAATCTAACTTTTTTCCTGGGCAGGGTCGATTAGTCAGCCTTCAGAGCTATGAAAAGATCTGATGATGTTATTTGTTATTTCAAGTTCATCCGTACAATATACCTCCTTCCTCATACAAAGCACCTCTAGGCTTTACCCCTTAAATCTAATTCCTCTTTTATTTCTACGTTCTTAACCACTTCTGAAAGAGATCGATACTTGTTTTCTTTATTTATTTAATCTTTATTTACGATCAATTCATCAGCCTATAAAAATACATATCACATACGCTAAGATATTTAAAATTAAAACTACATACTATAACACTAAGGCTGTTTTCCGTGAATGCCGTGCGTTAGACTTAAAGAATGTCATTGATCTTACGTTTAAAGCATTTTGTCAAACAAATGGTAACGAGAATATAGAAATGATAAAAAAAAGACAGGAGAGAATTTATTTCCATGAGTTGGGAGAATCCTTTTTGAGATCTTGTATTTTTAAGGGTTAGGTATTCGGATCAGAGCTCTGTCATCAAAGATCTGTTGAACTGCGGAGCGAAAGCCACAACAAAAGCTTAAAAATCTCAAATGATGCTGTTATAATAAAAAGTCTCCTTCGGCCAATTTCTATCAGAATAGGAACGATAGTTTGCGTTTGGTTACTTTTTATGGAAGTTTTTGTGACAAGAACGTAGCGATGGCCAAAAATTCCTTGCAAAAGTGAGTTTGTGACGCGCAACTTAAATAATTCGAGGCTAGCGAAAAATCACGTTGCCTTTAACATACAAACAACTATTTGGAATCACCTTTCCTATATTGGCTTTCAAGTTTAGCATATGTTAAAATATGTTGCTTGTTTAGAAAAAGTATTGTCTCTAAACCAGTGATATAACTGTCTAAATACGGTAGGTAAAATCCCAAACATGCACAGTTATGTCTTTTTTCGCACTGGATACACTTATGAATGATGAAAGCACTGAGTATCTACTCAAGACTAAAAACAATTTTACGATCAAAACTGCACTGTTTTAGGAGAGGGTCCACAATAGGGGTTCTCAAATCCCGCTTTCCCGCCTTTTCCTCTTCTCAATCTCGCCATCCCGCCCCTTTTTACGCTCGGATCCCGATCCCGCCCCATTTTTTTACGAGATTATTGACATGTTTTGCTTGATCATTGAAATAGGCGTTATGACTTACCTTCTATCAATTGTCAGTTTTAATGTTCCAGGTTCTCAACGTCACAATTAGCGACAATAACTTTATTTTCTGTTTTGCTTAATTAGTTTTTGGTCCTCGCATTGGTACATGTTTACCTCGATACTTTAAGTCCAGTATTTTTGGAATTAGATAGATTGATGTTATCTGTCTGTCTTACGAAGATTCGACTGCCTTGCTGCTAGTTTCCATCAGGCGATGAAGCCAATTCTGTCAATTGTTTAAAATGAGTTTAGGACATGGAAATTGTATATAAACACACTGGTCTATTTTAAGAAAACATAAACCTGCTATTAAATCTAACAGCACGACGAAATGCGGACACCCTTCCAAGCAGGAAGTTTGCTTCACCAGATCCTTCTCCTACTTGGTCTTCGGTTTCTTCTTCTTCCGCACTGCTACTTGTATCATATTCTTCAGAAAGGCCGAAATCACCTGTTAGGTCAACGCTTTCCCCAAGCACAATGTCTTCTTTCTCGTACAAGAAATCAGTGAGCGTTCCAGCCCTAGCCATGGTCGTTTCTTGTTGGACGGTTCATTGACGAACTGCGGCCCCAAAGGTATCTGCCCATTCCCTCATAAGCTGGGCGTCTTGGGCACTTCTTACCCCAGGTGGAAGTTGTGGTGCTAATGAAATTTCAATGAGTCTGGAACGGGATACCACGACTTTGGGTTGGTATAATAAAATGCCGCCCAGTTTGTTGTCTTCTTTACACTTTCCTTGACAGCGTTTCCGAAATTCCTGGCATATTCAAGGGCAGTGCATAAAGGTGATTTCTGATGGACCAGAGTGACAGTTCTCTACATCTAATGTCATGCAGCTCAGGAGGTTGGTTCAGTATAACCCATTGGCGCTAACAAGTCATAAAGTCTCTAAAGGTCAGAATGCAACAATGAAACAGACTCTATTTTCTTCTCAGCTACATTTCCCTGTGGTCCATTAAGGGACCTCGGCAGGCTATGGATTTCACCGCGAATCGAGGCGTCGTTTCGGCGAAGATATTGCAACGTTTCTTTTAGCAGAGTAACGGCATCTTTTAGACTGCAAAGCTCGTCTTCGTACTTTGCATGCTTCTCGTGGACGGAGAAAGCCTTGTATATCTTTCCGACTGCATGTAGAAATAAAAATAATAACAGTCTTTATTAAGCACTCTAAACAACAAACGTGTTTAGTTACAATGATATGAACTCAGCAAGTATAAAACTAATTAACTAACTAAATTACTAACTGATTAACTAATAAGAGAACAAACATCTATTAACAAAATTCCTCTTCATTGAAACGTTCAGTTCTGACAAGCGGGAGAATATAATTATGGCGCCTCTTACGTAGCGTAACCATTGGTCGCTCTGGTGGCAAAAGGTCATCTAAAGCTGTTGTAAAATCGCTGTCGGTGATCTTGGCCCACAACTTCTTATCTTTCAGAATAATAGTATTTTCAATGGAAAAAAGCTCTTTACAGTAACCAAGCTCAAAAGCTTTCTTGAACAGCCTGTCTATGCGACTCAGATACTTATGATAATACGCGCAGCCTCATACTTCTACAGCATATGTAAATATACGTAGAATAAGACTGATAAAAAGAAGATGAAGATGATCCAGCGGCAGTTCATAGAATTTACAAACACGTAAGATGTACAGACGACTACTGGCTTTCGATATAATATTATCAAAATGTAAATCCCAGTTACACGGATCAGATTGAAAAGTTACACCCAACAACTTCAGACATGGTTTACGCTCTGTAGAAACCAGAGGAGCAGGTAAAGCCTTAGTGGATTTGTCTCTAAGAAGCATCTCCCACGTTTTCTTGAAGTTTAGTTGCATACGGTTAGCAGATGTCCATCCGACGATCGATCGGACCTCCTCAGCTGCTGAATTGCCGTTGTTAGCCCGAGGTTTTACTGGAATACTTAGTGTTAAATCATCAGCATATTTCACAAGCAAATTCTGATTTAGTAGAAGGGCCTCAATATCGTTGACCATAATAGAAAATAGTAGAGGGCCTAAAACTGTCCCCTGAGGGACACCCCTATTGATATTTAAATAATCCGTAACAATGGCATCAACAACAACTCTTTGTTTCCTGTTCTGTCAAAAACTAATAATCCAATAGGCCACGTATGGATTTATGTCAAGTGTTTTCAACTTAGAGCAGAGGATATCATGAGGGACCGAATCAAAAGCTTTGCTGAAATCAAAAGAGAAAATTCTAACACAATCAAAACCCGACTCAAGCCATTTTAGCCAAGCATATTGACACTTAATTAATGCAGTGGTCTCCGTTCATGCAGAGTGGTGAATACCTTGATACAGCTGGTGCGGGCATACGCTCAGTCCAAAGGGTCGTCCAGGTCCGACAGGTCCGTCCAGGCAAAAGCAGAAAAGGTCAAATCCGTCAACAAAACAGGAATGAGTGTAGGATCTTGACTTCTAACCTCAGTGATTTGATACCTCTTTCCGAGTGACGAAAACGGCGAAAATAGTAAAACCGGAAAAGACGAACACAAAAAAGTGATAATGGGTAAAATTTGACTGGCTTCACTTCCTTTACGTATGATGCATGATCCTCGCAGTAGGGAGCGCTATTTATGCAATATCGAAAATCAGACCTGAAAAAAATCAGGCCTGCACGGGATTCGAACCACTGACCTCTGCGATACTAGTGCAGCGCTCTACCAATTGAGCTAACAAGCCAACTGGGAGCAGGCCGTTAAGTTGATTCGTAATAAACCCGTGATGATAAATCAGATACAATGTATATATACATTGTATCTGATTTCACTTCCTTTGACACTCATAGCTTGACTACAAAGACGGTATACACACTCAAGAAAGAACCATTTTTTTTCAGTCAACGCTAATGAATTTTTGAAGACAAAACTAAATTCCCGTATCCCGCTATTTTTCCCTTACGATTCCCGAATCCCACCCCCCTAAAAAAAGGAAATCCCGCTCCCGCTGGTTGTTAAAATTCCCGCATCCCGCTTCTGTTTTGAGCTCATATCCCGAATATCACCACGAAAAATAGCCAAATCCCGCATCCCGCCAAACCTATTGTGGACCCTCTTAGGACTACTGAAAGAAAAAACTTCTTAGCATGAACAATTAGACAGTTTTTCACAAAAATTACGATGAGATTGGCGAGAAAAGCGGCTTTACTGAGAATTTTCAACGCTGGCACTCATAAGATCATCATAGATTTACGTTGAGACAAAAATTATACAATTTTAACTAAATTTACCTAAATTGTTGTATTAATAAATAATATCATAAAACTTTGCTAAAAAAAACTCTACTCTTCCTTAAAAATGTAAAATTACAAACATTGATATAAATATTGTTACTTTTATGCTGTTTAAAAGATATGCTGTGTATTTTATGCCCCTTGCTTGGAATATAAGTAACCTAAGCTTAAAAGATTGTAGGCTGTTCTTCTACATGGACATTAAAGCATCCTAATGAGACAAAAACAGAGATTTGGCACCGGATTTAAGCGAAAAAGCAAACGTCAGCTTGTCCTTTCACGTCAGCTTGTCCTTTCACGTCAGCTTGTCCTTTCACGTTTCACGTAAAATAGCGTGAACCCTGCTGGTTTAGTTTTGCGTGAGCTAACGTCATGGTGAATTTGAAGGCGTCCTTGTATGACTTACAAAAAATAGTTTTGGTGTTCAATTAACTTTTACTCTGAGATGGAAAAAGTGAAGAAAATCTTACGTATGCAGCAAACGCAAAACAAGTTACTTTCACGCAGAAACGGCAAAGCGCAACCAGCAAACTTGAAAAATGGCGGGAAAAACAAGGTCACTTGGTCACTCTTGCTGCTCACGTTTCACTTGAACACAATGTTAAATCTCTCTACTAATTTAAATCCTCGTGAGGTATAGATTTTTCTTACAAATGAGCTTCATAGTTTAGGATGAATTCTAATGATGTTGTTTGGAGTGTTCCTGCTTTCGAAACTGGAATGTAAGTCCACTTTTCTACCGTGACCGATCTGGCACAAAACCAACATGACAGAATGCTTGCGTGTCTGTTTCTTTAATGTTTCTTTGATGGCAAACTTTACGTATTCCATTGTTCTCAAGGGTGTACTGTTTCTGAGAAGTCAAGCGCACTGAACGATAAAGAAAGACTAATGTGTTTTTGTCAACAAAAATGGCCAATTCTCTCCAGCGAACAACTGACATTGCACTATAACGAAGATTTTGGTTCAGGCTCCAACTGAGGAACGATTTTCTCATCTGGAAAAGTATGTTCTTTTTTACAGCTTCAACAATGTCATGTTCGCCTCTTTTCTGCTGGCTATATCAAAATATATTTTTCCATATTGACCGATATAGAAAGCCCTTGAAAGTTTCATGTGAAATGGGACGCGGCACATTTACAGTTTCGGTACAATATGGATGATGTCATTGCTGCAAACAACAAGCGTTTCAATTTTCCAGCTCGTGGATGTACATGTGTCTTCTTAAATCAACTTTTCGCATGAAGGACACGCCGCAGTCATCGCAGGAGAATGGTTGAAAGCCCTTGTGTTTCCGACAATGGGTGATCAGATTTGACGACTGGCTAAACGACTTTCCGCAAAAGTTGCACTGGTGCGGCTTCTCTCCTGTATGGATGTACGTATGCTTCTTCATATCAGACTTCTGATGAAATTTCTTGCCACAAAATTGACACTCAAACGGACGCGTGTCCGAATGAATCAACATGTGGGTCGATAATGTCGAGGAGCGCTTGAAGCTTTTACCGCAAACCCTACATTGGAATGGCTTCTTGTTGGAATGCACTATCATGTGTTGTTTTAAGCTGATGGAGTTGTTGAATACCTTATCACACACTTGACAGTTGTACAACTGTCTTGTTGTTGACTCAGGCATCTTAAACTTGTCTTTTTTTGCAACACCGTTCGAGTCAGCGCCGCTTTCGCAGTTTAGTAAGCAGCCATTTTCTTTCTGAAGCCCCTCGTCTGTTTTATTATTTATTTCGTACTTTGGTCCTTCCTGGGTCTTCAGCGCATTGTAGAATCGATACAAGCCGGCAGATGGATCGCTTTGAAGCCTTCTCATCTCCGTCCATTGCTGCATCCACCGTGCAAATGGGTCGAGTCCACTGTTGGGCTGCTGCCGGCAGTTCCACAGAGGGAACTGTGTGAATTTCAAATGTGGGCCCTCATGTCCTTTCGCGGAGGAAGAGGAGAATGTTGGAAGAAATCTTACACAAGATCCAATAGGTATAGCTTAAAGTGAATAAAGAATATTGGGACTGTCAGTCAATCAGATCAATCATTAATCATGACGTTTTGTTTGAGTTATCATGAGATTTAGTAAGGAAATAGTCTAGAAAATGTCTAGAGAAAAGGGTTACGGTTAGATAAATTGATTCTTTCTTCTGTTCATATGTCAGCATGACCACGCTTCGTTATCCTTTTTCGGTTTCAACTGGATGGGGATTCGCATCAGAAAACTCAGTAAAGTTTAAACAGAAAAGAAAGAGCATTGCGAAGTACTTTGAAATCCTCTCTTTTGCATTCTTTCTGTCATAATTCAATAAGATGTTGTAATTTTTATTTCACCTGTGGAATAAGTTGGATATCTGCCTTGTGACTGGCTGCTATGGCTAATGTTCCCATCATCTGTGTCTTCCTCTGAGCTCGACTCATCATCCGGGTTTTCCTTGTAATCTGCATCATGCGCATGCTCATCAGAGTCACTTCCATCTAAAACATAAGAATGATAAAAATGAGTTATATAGTGAAATAAAGAAACCTGGATTAAAATTTAACCCTATGTCAGCGCTAATCGGCCCCTGAACAACTGGGCCCTGATCTGAGAGATAGATAGCTTTATTAAAAAATCACATGGCAACCTAATAAGGTTGAAATGCATGAATATTTACGATACAATACTGGCTAAAATTATCAATTATATCTACAGAGCATATTATTTACAAGAATAATATAAGAATAATGCACAGACCTATTGTCTACACATGGCTGATAAATATGTCTAGGAGAAACGCTTGGTGCGCATTAATGGGTTAACAAACAGACGTTGATTTCTAAGATTAGAAGTAATATGGTTCTTCTGTGCACTTACTAATGTATCACGACTGGCAAGAAAGAATTTCTGCAGAGACACCGAATATGTTCAGATGAAATCCCCTTCCGCTTTCCCTGTCCCGGTTTATAGACCCGTATAGGCCCAAATATATGAAAATCTATATTGCTTCATAGTTAGTCATGAGGCGAGTATACAGATTCCGGATTGATAACTAAGCAATACTTCAGTTGCTTTCGCCAACAACTGAACCCAATTTTGGGAAGGAGACTCGTGAATTAAACTAGTAATATAACAAAGATTCCAATGAATAAAGGCTGAAAGTTTCGAAAGAAACTGTTTGGGGCTGCGTCGGTGGGAGTAACGAAATAATTTAAATATATCAACAAAGTTGAAGTGGTAAATTGGCCACCGTAACGATTACAAAAGCTGACGTTTCGAGCGTTAGCCGGCCTTCGTCAGAGCGACGACGAAGGGCTAACGCTGGAAACGTCAGCTTTTGTAATCGTTACGGTGGCCAATTTACCACTTCAACTTTGTTGATATATTTAAATTATAACAAAGGTTCCTATTACTACAAAAAGAGGGAAACTTGAAATTTTCTTGAAATTTCACAGAGAAAATCCAAGAATTTGGAACAAAAATTTGGAGAACATTGTTCAATCTTCCGGCTAGGGTATCTCGCGAATTTGGGAGCAGTTCTTTTTTTATAGATCATCAAAGAAAGACATCGCCAGATAAATGAAAAAAAAACGACTATTTTAGCTGCGGATTCAAGGTAATAATACTGAAAATAAGCGAAACCACAACGGGTTTTTTGTGAAGTGCAACGCCGCTCCGTTTTCACAAATTCACTCGTTCCTACCACACTCGGGTCTCGCCCCCTTAACAGGTATCAATTAACCCAAGGTTTCAAGCTGTCACTAACTTGTCTCATTATTGCCTACTGGCAAATACTTAGATAAACTTACTCGAGTGGGGCTGTTTCCACGCGGATTTTATGCTACATAGAAGCTGAGGTTTATGGTGATTAGAAGTGAAACAAATTTAGGAAAAAGCTCTGTGAATCACTGCGTTTCAATCAAGATCTCTGAGTAAAATAGCCCTTTCATATCAGTCATGATGTGATTTAAAGAAACTTCTTGGAAAGGTACGAATAATTTGATGTTTAGCTTGTTTTGTTAGAATGAGAGTTTCTTTAATCTGATCATCATCCCAGAAACTAAACTCTCAGTCGAGACAAAAATCAAACAGTGATAAACGAAGAAAGAAGATCACAAAGTTTTTGTCGCACTAAAAACGAATCAACTTAACCTTTAGGTTCAAAGAGATTACTTCCGGAATGAACCGGTAGAAAACACGAAGTGGCAGAATAGGAAAGACGAAGTGGCAGAATAGGAAATATGCAGTGATATTTTTCTATGATCAGAGAATAACGTAACTGAATGAAAAGAGTTGAAACGCGCGAGCCGCTGAGAAGGAAAATATCCACAAGTTTAGATTCGCATGGAGATATTAAACATTAATCTCTATTTGGCCCGAAAATATGCACGGATACATTTGCACGCGGACATTATCTGTTCCAGATGCGAACAGTTTCCGAGAGTGAAGCTTACCATTTAGTTGCAATAGAGGCTATTGTGTTTATTTCCCTTAAAATATGCTACAACGCGCATGAAAAAATGTTTAGGAACAGCTCATTGTTTACCGCGTGTGATGTTTTCTTTTGAGTCTTCTCTAATAGGACTTTATGAACAAACAAATATTCGCTTCTTCTGAAAGGATCATGAAACGCTTTCTTATCTTGAATTAAATTTTAAACGAAGACTTATCGATCGTAGTCGGACGTGGGGTTTAAGAATTGGAGAGTTTCACTTGAGTGATAATGTGTTTACTAATGTCATTATCAGTACACACATTTGCCGCTGTGATAAGGGATCCCTTATTTTCGTTTCAGAATCTTTAACTTCAAGAAAGTAACTGAAAGTGTTTAAAATGAAGAAAACTCTGTGGGAAAAAAAAAAAAAAGAAAATAGGCAAAAGTAGTTTTTTGATTTAAGAAGACATAGAAAAATAATTTTAAATATAGTAATACTGACTATATGAAATGACAAAAAAACTCTGCTAATTCCATGGGCCATTGGCTTGACACGTAAACGAGTTATGATTTTTTTTTAACGATTTTCCAATGCCTTTGGATTTACCATTCTTTCAGGAAACGTTATCTTAGTTTCTTTTAGCCAGGTATAACCTATCTCTGCATGTATTAGAAAAAGATGTTTAGCCAAAGATGAAATTGTGTTGAAGCACAACATCCGTTTTTTAAAGATTGCTAAGGCACCAAATTTTTAAAAAGTGGGTTTTTGTCTTTTGAGTGTTATTCTATGTGATTTGTACGAACAAAGGCCCGATGCGTAGATGCTTTTTCGTGAATTCAAAGCTGTAAAATCGAAACATCGACCACTCTCAACACTTGGAGAATCTCGAGAACACGTTTCGCGAAATTAAAGAGAATGTCGTGAAGAAAAATAAATGTACATATGCCTTCGATTTCCTCTGTGATCGGTAAAGCCAACAGCTTACATTAGTTATGCTCCCCGGGAAAAAATCCCGGGGAAAGTTTCCTACCATCTTTGTATTCCCTGTAGATTGCACCTTCATTTTCCACCTTCGATGAAACTTGAGGTCTTATGAGGAAGGATTTCGGCATAGCTAACGAATATGTAGCGACCGGAACACGAAATGACACTGCTACTTTGAGCAAGACTTAACATCAATTGGGCTTTTATAACAGGGTGTGGTCCAGTGTGGACACCAGCGACTATTGAAGGGAATTCACACTCATACGGCGTCACATAATTGGGCAGAACTAGCGCTGACGGCAACCTTCAATAAAATACTCACGGACTCACTAGGAGAACCTGTTTATTCAAAAGAATCTAATTAAAGTTTTATCTTGCGCCATAATGAAGAAAATAAAACAAAATAATTCTATAGTTAAGATGAAATACGATATTCCGGGAAAGAAATTTTAGAATGCACATTTTTAAGAGATTGCTCCGTATAGTTTGAGAAGATTTTGCTTAGACTATTCTTTCTTTATATTGACCCTCTGAAATGGAAAAGTTCTATCTTGAAACTAACGTGACACTGAGTCGTTGGAATTAGATGTACAAGAGGGAAAAAGTTATCGAAATTATTCGCTTTTTGCTGTTTAAATGTTGTTATCGATAAAGTGTTGCATTGGGGCGTTATCCACTCGAAGATGAGATTCATGTACACCCGTGACGCTCGTCTTGACGCGTCGATATATAAAAATTAACGGTTCCAATTTCAATCCGTTTAAAGCTCTACTGGAACTTAATTCCAACAAAACTTGCATCGTTGTTTTCAGAAATTGAGACCAGATTTATTTGCTGTAGACCGTGAATTTTTACCAATCTATTATGAAGAAACTAGGAATAGATCGCGGGAGTTTAAATATTTTATTTACTCAACTAAGGTTGGACAAAACATGCATTAATAATTGCTGAGATTGAATAGGTACATCAAAGAAGGAAAGTGCGCACAGAGCAGAAATTTGCCTCTACTTCAAATGCAATTATTAATTTTGATACATGGTTAAATCTAAATATATTTGGTAAAGTCTCTCTCTGTGACTTTGGATTATTACTAAAATACTTGCTTTGTTAACAGTTCGCAACTCTCAAAAACACAGATTATTAAATTCTATTAGGATAATATAGTGCAGAAATTTAACTGATGTGGTTTTAAACTTTTTATCAAAATCCTGGTATCTGAACTACGGAAAAGTTATTGTCAATATCACCTTAAATTCCGAAAGCAGCTCCAAAATACCCCCCCCCCCAATCCCCGAGAATTTTTCATGATTAGCTGGAAAGATTTCAAATGTGTTTTTGCTAACGTCAGAACAGGTGCTAAATAGAATCGAATTTCTTAAGACGTGTTTGTCGATGGATTAGCACATGCCGAGAATCATGGAAATTTCGCGAAAAAAAATCACTTTAATAAAGATTTCTACAAAGTATTTCTTACGTTTTGAAACAAAATTTCGTTTTAGTCAAACAAGCAGGAAAGCCTACCCTTAACTTAAAAGCAGGATCGTTGCCATTGTTTGAATGAACGATTTATGATTTGAGGTACGTTACAGAAGACAGTAGAAAATACATAAATTTCCAAGTTCCAATTTGCGGGGTTTATCCTCACGAGAAAACTATTCTGTTGACGAACTGTTACTGAGTTCGATGGCATCGAAAATTGTTGAACGAAGGAATATCTGCTATTAACTTTCTTTAGGCCTTTGTAAATGTCAGAAACGTCATTAATTTTGTATCAAATGGTTTTGCCTTAAGGCCTCGTGAAATGACGTGCTCGTGGAAAACTTTATATCTAAGCGCCTGAGCAAAGAAAACTCATCGATACGAAATACTACCAAGATTGTGCGCATTGTTTGTGGAAATCCTGACTTTGAAAGCTTGGAAATCCAAAATGAAATCTGAGCAAGACTGATTAATAGCAACGTCATGCTGCAAAATGGCTCGCAGCCAATAAAACGCTTTTAGGAAAGCCGTTTGACAATATGCCGCCAGCATTAACAGGGTATCCTACATTAGATAATAAATGAACAAAACAAAGTGATTGACATAAGTTAAATCCAATACTAAAATAATTTGCATTCTCAGTTTAGTAATTTTGCATTCTGTAAACATTATAAGAAAGAAAAAAAAATTCAAAACACTCACTTCATGTTAAAAAAAAACTTGAGAAATTAGTACACAATGATCATCAGAAACCATCACCTAAACAGGATGTCAGTGTACAAATCTGGAAGAAGTAAGTCTAAAAAAGAAAAGGGACATAGAATTTGTTTCAAATCGAATTAAAATGAAGCATTCAGAAAAGAGAGAGGTCGAAACATATCCAATTGATGCCAGCACAAAGTTATTCGTGTGGAATATACTTTGTTCGTAAGTGGACGGGACTCAGTAGAAAAATCAGTGTGATTCCTGAATAAGGCTCAGTTTGAGGTGTGATTGAATGTAATCCGTTGTTTCCAGTGTAACCTTGAGGAGAAGTTGATTTAGCCAGTCTCGCAAAACATTTTGCACGAAATACACACCTTATATTTACTCTGCTCAGCGGTTTAAAGATTACAAGTTAAAAATTTCCGGGCTAAAGAAAACATTACGGAAACTCTGTTTAAACCTTACGCAAGGCATTTTTAGTTCACTTTCCTCTAGAAGGTTTCCCACCAAAACATTTAGCAAGACGTATTCCAGCTTTAATACTGACTGAGGCAACATTACAGTAATGTTACGCCAGAACGAAAAGAATGTCGTAAGTCATTTGCCTCTATATTTTAGTCTATGCTGCTATTTCAAAGCCAACTGATAACTCACATTGTATGTCGAGGAGGTGTGTGGGAAAGGAAATTTCTTCCTTAGAAGTAAACAAATTCTTTTTCGAGTGCGTTATTTAATTGTAAATGAATTATTCCAAAAAGAATGCGCTTGGAAGTTATACACAATCAAAATCACATCTAGCGGCTAAAATAAAGAAACGAGCCAAGGTGTGCATAAGCGATTAACATCAAGTTGTTCTCATTTGGACCAACAACAGATTTGCAAAATTGCAACTGTCAGGCAGCATTGCATTGCATTTCATTGCATTGCATTGTCACCAAAGCATATCCCAGGGCGTTTCAAAGCAAAATGGTCACTTTTTATACAGGTGCTTTTAAGTTTAACAAAGATTCGTTTTTCCAAATCCAATCCTGTTGCTCTAACTGACTTGCTAATACTAAAATCTTGATAATAAATAAAGATCTCCAATATTAGGATCTCTGCTAGAAAATACGACTCTTACCTACTCTAAATGGCTCAGTACTACAATTCAACGCATCTAAACTGACTGTGAGTGAAACCTGTTTATGTCTTCCTGATTTTCTGCCATAACAATCTGCTTGAAAAGCGAGGGTAAAATTGCACCATGGCGCCTTTCTGTTCAATCCACTTGCATTAGAGTTTGGATAATCTGTTCAGAATTCTTGGTCAAAACATGATTTTAAGAATCGTTCTCATTACGACTGACCGAAAACAAAGGATATGCATGTTATACTCGTTAACATCTGTAGTCTCCAGAGTTTAGCAAATACTCGTTTTTAACACCCAAGGTGATTTTCAGAGGAGCTCATACTGTTAGCTGTCAAGGAGACGAATCTAATGCTGATTAACAGAAATTTAAAATACTGTTTTATTGAAATTATAACTATGATTCAAGAATAAAATGAAATAAGCATATTTTCAGAAATTTTCAGGGACGAAGCAGATGTTTCTTAGGTGTGGCCACCGGACTAAAAAATTATAAAAGTTGCGCAATCTCTTTTAAAAAGGTTTTTAAACCAGATAGCAGGTTCTCTATTCAGCCAGCTTATAGAGTTGTCTTTCCAACCACCCAAAACCTCAAACAGTACGTTCACAGACATATTCTTAATTTTAACTAAGAAAAGTAAGTAGTTTTTAAGAGAACTCTTAAAAATATTTTAACTTGGAATGGCTTAAATTTACTAATTTCTGGAAAAAACACACCAATTTTGCTTGAATCGTAATTTGATAAATTCGAATCTCAATTAATTACCCTTTTCTGTCCTAAATTAACTTTGAAAGCGAACAAAATGACTACGCTGGAATTCTATTAAGACATGGAGATTTAAACATTTTGTTGAGCGCGCAAAATTAGATTTTAATTCAATAGCATAACTTTGAAAATTGATAATTTTTTTAACGGAATCACACCAATAAAAACGCTTATGAATTTCGAAGTTTTGCGCCCTAACAGTCAAAAAACTAAGTGAAAGAATGACATGAAAATATTCGTTCTTAATGATACTAAGGGAAAGTGAGGAAAAAGCCATCAAAACGGTAAATTCGACACATAAATTATGGCCACCAGTCGTGAATAAACGTTAAATTTTAGCCTTGAAATCAAAGGAAGCGATTACCTTGCTAATGATTTTCCCGATATCCTCAAACACAGAGTGATTTTTGTCAATTCGGAGGGCTTTAAAGCGAAAATATCTTTGAGGAATACCCTTTGGTATTAGGAAAAGAGAACGATGCGAGAGGCAAGATATTGAGTTTGTCACACATCAGTTGAATTTGTCAAAATTTTAAAACCTTAATTTACGCGTTCTGATGTGAAAGCGGTTGCGCCGAAAATATTTTTCTGTCTAGAACCGGAAGATCACCTGAAATTAAAACAACTAGAAGGATTATAAAAACAAAAATATTGCCTCGAAATGTACCTTTGAGGTCCTTGTTGTTGTTAGACGTATTCGGTGAATAACAGTCATCTTTGGAAGTTTGTTGTGGGAGAATCGCCTCTTCGTCGCTCTCTGTAGCGGGAGAACCACAACTGATCTCATAACTTAGCACGGAGGAATTTTGTTTTCCTAAAATACCAGACAAAACAGGATAGGCATACTACTTAAACCCAAATATCTAAATCATGGAATTTCGTTAAGATAAATCAAACTTTGGATTAGGGCTGAACAGAGGGATTCTCGAAGCAATCTCGAATAGCTCGCCTGTGTTGCCATCAAGTACATAATCTGCTCAGAAGCGAGGTAGAAAATGGAATCTTTGATGCATAACGTTTACGGGTACCGGAAAGAAGTTGACTGGAAATGCACAAATCATAACAAAGAAAACCCAACCGAAAAATCACAACCAGGTATTTACCTTGTTTATTTCTCTTTTCAACACCCTGGTGGGAAGCATCGCTGGAAACTGCAGTAGGCTTCATGCGCACGAGAAAAGCTCTTGGCATTTTGATTTTTCGTCGTTAATGCTTCAGAAAGACAGAGTCTTGTAAAGTTGTTCTCGTTTGGAGTTTGCGTGCAGAGCGCAGGGAGCGGATGTTGCGAGTTGTGAGTATTACGAGGGTTGTTTATCCAATTGGTAAATGTATACGTAAATATTTGATACACATAAAGATTGAACGCCCCAGCCTCTTCTCAAAGCTGAAGGGCAGGTGTCCCGATCTTGCAAATGTTCCAAAATTAACTGCGGTTTTGTCAAACTCCACCTGCTTGTAAACTTTGCGTTTGGAAAACTCTAAAGGGAAGTTGCCATTTACTTAAAATACACACACACTGAATGACATCAGCCCGAAGTGCTCTTGGCGATTGAACCGAAGTTCACCGCGCCCACATGTCTGTATTACTGTATATGACCAACAAAATGTCCCCTAGTGCTCCCATTTCGATTTTCATTTTCAAACAGTGCTTGTTTGTTTTGCTCGATTATAAATTAGCACTTGCCGGCGCGAGCTCCATAGTTGTGCAGATCGGGGAAAAAATGGCACTTGCCAGTTATAACTAATTAAACAGTGCTCGTTACGTGCGGAGCAAAACTGCGAATCTCTGTAATTAGAACTGGTATGCGTAATCATTTACACTCTTAATATTTACTTTGAACAGAGCTAGGCTTCATTATACAAAACTTTCAACCCTGAAGGTTATCGACATTTTCAAGTAAGATAGCTGAAGTAGCTGTGGATAATATTTGTTTATTGGGACAGAAACAATTCGTCGACGTACCATGCCCAACAAATCGTAACCTTTCTAGAAATAAAGGTTAGCGTCCATGGCAAACATTTTGTTCATTTATGAAATATCTCTTTCTTGATTTCATTCTTTACTTTATGGACAGATACGAAGGATACGTGCTTTTTAAAATAACTAGACATTCACTCGGCAATCAAAATAAGTCCTTCTTTCCTCTGTTAGCGACACCCACCTGGCGCGGAAGTTGTCACGTACCAGTGTTCGTAAACTTGAACTCGACATCTAGATTTCACCGACATGTAAACGAATTCAAGTCACATCCCTTAACATTTCAACTTCCCCTCGATACATTTTCACACGCCGGGGGGCTACACGAATGCGCTTAAACAATTGAGGGCAATTAGGCATTTCATCTTCTCGGGTTTCGACCAAATTATGGTATAAAGTCGTTTTAGCTAATACTGATGTCCGGTTATTCAATCAACTGGAAAAATGTGCAGAGATATGGAAATATTTTTTTTGCCAGTTTGTTAGCGGAGTCATCTATCACAGACATTTTTTCCAATTCTTAGTTTTCTGATTCGTTGATTAATTATGATTTTGCGACACAATTTTTTTCAGAAAAGAATCACTTGATATTGGCATTGACATTAGCACCAGTAATTAACAAATGGTAAACACCACAGCGTACACTATTGAGTTATGGATGCACGCGGGAGGTTGCTAAGCACGAAAGAAGCGTAAGAGTCGCTCGAGGCGATAGCCGAGAGCGACTCTAGCTTCTTGAGTGCTTAGCAAACCTCCCAAGTGCATCCATAACTCAATAGTGTACGCTGTGGTGTTTACCATTTGTTTTATAACATAACATTGATACATTGTAGCTAAAGAGTTCCCTTTTATTTAACAAATCTTACG